TATCCAGCCACATTCACACTCATGACTTGTGCCCAGTCGGACGTGTCGGCATCTAGAGCTGTGAAACAAAGACGAACGTTGATTTTATGTTGAGAACCGAGGGGAGAGAGCAGGGATATCAGCCCTCCCCCCTGGCCAGCCCGACCCATCACCCATCCCACAGCAGCATACACAATGTTTTTTTTTTCTGATTTTGTTTTATGTAGATGCAACGCGAGAGTTTCGTTTTGTACGTCGCGTGCTCTTGCGCTGTGAATTTGAAGGCGAAAAAAGGGATGGTTACGACTAAGTGTTCATGCATTATGGACAGTGCGAGTTAAGTTTTAAATTGTCTCACGTTCCCACCTTACGTCAGATGTATGGAGGTCTATGCGGGGGTATTCAGTGGTTTCGTTCACCCAAATATTATTTAATCAGGTCATTGCCAGCTGGTAGGTTTTGATATCGTGCCGTAGACGCATGTAGGCAAGTCATGTACTGGGAAATATAACAAAGGCGGTGTTCTTTTCATTAGAAAAGCTGGAAAATTATGCCAGCTAGCAGAAGAGATCTGCACTGGGTAAACAGCTGGGAGATTAGAAACCAACTGGGACAGATGACCGGATCGACCATTCATAGTCCACCCCCTGACTGTAAAAAAAAAAAATGCCCCAAAACATGCTATCTTTATCAAACATTCACTTTTAAATGATTTAAATGCAATACTCGTGGGGTGTCGGAAAGAGATTTTTGCAATCCATAACTTCTACTTGCCTTTAAATATGAATACAGCAGCACTGTTCACAAGAAAGTTGATGCAGCCACCGTACTGGCTAGCTACGTGGCTAACGGCCTTGAAGCACGCCTCTCGGTCGGAAACGTCGACCTGGTAAAATTTCGTCTCAAAGCCAGCCGCCTGGAGCTCAGCCTCCAACTGTTTCCCGGCAACTTGGTCGATGTCGAAGAAGGCAACAAGTGCTCCGTCATTCAAGAATCGTCGCACACATGCACTGCCTATACCACTGGCACCCCCTGTGACTATAGCTACCCGCCCCTTGAGTCTGTCCTTAGTGCTTGCTGCATCCAGGCTAGGTTGAAGAGCTGCCATTTTAAGTCACTCCTGACCTGGTTTTCCTTTTTGCAAAATCAAAGGCGAAGAATAAGGGGTACCGGAGGAGATTAGCATTGGTTAGAATTGTGCTGGAAGTGTAGTGGTGTAAGACGTAAAGCTGAGTGGTCATTTTTAGCTGGAGGTGAATGGGAATGAATACGTGGGCTTGGAGAAAAAAGCAATTTTTCTAACAACACGATAAGATAACATTTTATCTTAATGCATTTGGGGCAGAGAATACTTGTAGAAATAAGAGGCACATGAGATGAAAACGTGACACGGAAATTGAAGGTGCAAAATCGTGCTTTATTTGCAGTCAATTTGTTTTGAAATACATGCTGCATCGACCACCAGCGCGTGAAAGAGCGTAAAGGGAAAATAATTCCCGGGAGGCTATAAATCGTTGTCATGTGGAATTTTGGCATTTATATAATCTGATATGTCCATATCTAAGTATTTTTTTTTTTTTTTGTGTTTTTTGATGTTTGAGGGTCTTTCAAGGACCTTGTGAAAACCAGGAAGGAGTTCGCAACTGAGTCAAACCGATCCACAACTACTGTGTGATGATGTATCTATTTTTAAATATTTTGACGAATTTTTAGATCTTTATATGTCCATCTGACATGATATTCCACACATATGATCACATTAATACACCTTTTACACTGGGGTAGCCACTAATCAGTGACAAATGCCAAGACAAAGGTGACATTCTGACAGCCGCTTATATAAAAATCACTAGCTAAAGAGACTGGCAATCAATTTCCGCAGGCTGGAAGTCAATAGCCCTTAGAAACTGATCATGATATATCTTATCTACCTGTTAGCATCGCTTTTTCAACTGAGTATTGCATAATAATGTCAATTACTAGTAACTTAGAGCTAGTCTTAATTACCTGTCAGCTTTGTGATCGGCTCACCTAAATTCTCTTTTAATTTTTTTGGGAAGATCTTGTAAGATGCCATTTAATGCCAGTCGCGTACTTGTGATTTTTAGCTCAGATAAGAGGCTGTCAGAATGTCATCTGTGACCCCATTTCCAGAGATTAGATCGATCTACTTTAGATCGACCTAGCTCCCTGGGGGTTCACACAAAATAGCTGTCAGCCGAGCGGACACGAAAGTTAATAACCCCTTACAGCTTGTAGTAGGCGGGACGGACATTTAAGCCGGGTTATCTGACAGTAATCTAGTGAGACTCCCCGCGGGGATAGATCGATCTAAAAGCTCTGGGAATACAGCCTTTGTCTTGGTATTTGTCACTGATTAGTGCCTACCCCGGTGTAAAAGGTGTATTAATGTGATCATATGTGTGGAATTTCCTGTCAGATGGACATATAAAGATCTAAAAATTCGTCACAATATTAAAAAAGAGACATCTTCGCACAGCAGTCGTAGATAGGTACGATTCAGTTCTTAGTTACGAACTACTTCCTAGTTTTCACAAGGTCCTTCAAGAACTCTAAAACATCATTATAATTGCAGCACATGCCAAGAATACTTAGATATGGACATATCAGATTAATAAGTGCCAAAATTCCACATGACAACGATTTATAGCCTCCCGGGAATTCCTTTCCCTTTACGCTCTTTGTCGCGCTGGCGGTCGATGCAGCATGTATTTCAAAACAAGTTTTCTGCAAAGTAAGTATGATTTTGCACCTTCAAGTTCCGTGTCACGTTTTCATTTCGTGTGCTGATATTGTCTACAAGTATTCTCTGCCCAAAATGCGTAAAGAAGAAATGTTATCTCACCACTTTGTTTGAAAAACTGCTTCTTCCTCCGAGTCCTCGTCTTCTCTCCCATTCACCTCCAGCTAAAATGACCACTCTGCTTTACGTCTTACACCACTTGATGTTACACTTCCGGCACAATTCTGACCAATGCTGATCTCCTCCGGTACTTCTTATTGGTGACCTATTTTGTGTTGGGCCCCCGTTGCGGGCCACCGTTATGACGATTGTGTTTTTGTGTAGGCCTACCCTTTACCAGGCCCATAGATTGACTTTTCTTTAGATATTTGCTAATGAGGGACAGACGGTCATCCGTGCACTTTGCCTTAGCAACTGGCATTCTCCCTTGATCCCGTTATCTCTTATCTCCTTCGAGGCGTTATGACCGGGGTAATTTCCATATGATGCTGCCTCGCTTTAGGAGAAACCGGCAATCCAGATCAGAAACGGCAAATCAGGACACAGCCAAATCAGGACAGTTGTTAATAGAAGGCGCAGCAGTAGAATATAGAGGACATTGTGCTTTTTGGTGCAAAGATGAAAGAGCACCTTCGTCGGGGTCAACGATTGCATTATTATGGATCAAATCTATTTACATTTTTCTTTTTTTACCTACACAGTTTGGAAATATTTTTTCTCCTTATATAGATATTATAAAGATATAAATTAAAGTGGTTCTGGAAAAAAGAAATGTTATCTTGAATTTGCAATGAGTTAGATCTATAAATATATGTGTTCAGGCTCTTTAAATAAAAGAGAAAAATAACAGATAAAATAAAAATTTATCAGAGTTTCATTTGTTTTGTTGATATCAAATAAGAAATTAAAAAAGTGATGGTAAATATTTATTTATTATCCTCTTTCCCTCTCCTCAAGCTGTGAGTAAGCGTAATGGAAGCCAGGTGTGAGGAGTGACAAGCCCTCGAGTGCCCATGCAGACTCCTAGCCCCACGCCTAGGGGGACCCCCCCCTCCCTTTAAATAACATGTACCCGCCCCTGTGCCCCTCCCCTTCCCCCCATTCAAAGAACCATGGATCCGCCCCTAGAGATATAAACTAAATAGAAAAAAGTAATAAAACAGCATATTTAACTGGACCCTGGACTCTTTTCATTCAAAATATATTACCATCATCAACAACATAAAGGCAATAATTTCAGAATAAAATAAAACAATGTTGAACAGATATTTTAATTCTCCCGAATCTAACTGATACCACATGAATGGAGAAGCCATTACAGAAAGCGAACGCAGGAATAAAAGGCATTTAAGCCCCCCCCCTGCTTCTTCACACATCTCTCTCTCTCTTACACCCTTTTAATATAGGATTATCTCTGAACTGTCTTTTGAAGAGCTTGAGCAACAACATAGGGTCTAGATAAAGCCTAAATACAACTATCAAAAAGCGTAAATCTCTGAAATACTAGGTGACAGTATAAACACCTCAAAGAGACTGTAAAATTTCACGGCTACTATTATTACTATTGGTATTATTTGGCATTTTACTTTAACACATCTCAATACACAGCATGGTTCAATTAACAATAAAATACAGTACGTAAAAGCAGTGCATTATTGGCTGTAAAAG